AAGTTTTGCTTTGTCCTCTCTTGGCCGTAATATCGTTGGTTCTCATAGAATTGATTCATTTTCTCCTTCAGCTTTGTAAAATACCCATATTAATTATTCTGGAATTATTTCATTTTCTTAAAAGTATGTAGAATTGATTTTATTCATAAATTCGTTTTTTTTTTTTAATTTTCTTATTCTATATTTGTGCTGTTCTATTTCAACTTTGGGCTGCCGTAGTTAACCTTGCACTACACTCTTTGTTCCTTGATAACAATACTGACAAATTCTCTTCTTCCCTAATCCGTTTTGTAGAGAGTCTGTCGAGATTATCTTTAGAGTGCAAAGTTCGGCTCTTAGTCTTACTTTAATCAAAATTTCTCAATTTTCTCCTGCCCAGTTTAAGAAGGTTCCCGAATATTTCACAATGGATACTTTCTACATTTTTTATCATGTTACTGTTGTTAGGACTAGTTTCCAAATTCTTCCATGTTCTGTTGATGTATTCGTTTGTAACCTTTTCCTTCGTTCTCTTCTACTTGATGGAATCTATTTCCATTATTCCTAGATACTTGTTTGATTTTTGTTTAGCGTCCTGTAGATTTTCTTTTTTGCAATTCAGTTCTTTTTTTGATTATTATTTTCCTTTGTGCATCACCAACATTACACATTTCACAATTCAAAACTTCGACTTCCTGATTGAAAATTATGATTGCTTGTATCAGATTATTGAATATTTTAAAAACATTCGCAATTTTTTTTCAGGTCACCTACATCCATAAAATTGTTGATTCTTTGATTTGAAAATTTAAATCTCCCATTACAATTCCGCAAATAGGCAGTTCAACAATATCATTGATTTTATTAAGTAACATTTCAAAATTCTATAACATTTCATAAAAAAAATTAAGAACTTTAGAAATTGTTAATTTCACTCTTTCCCCATAAAGATAATCTCATTGGACAGCCGCTCACACATGCGCGAGTGCGCACGCACATGTGCAGGCACACAAAGCAAAACGAGTGAGAAGGAAGCGACAGCAATAATTTTCTTTGTTGTGATAAATTGCAAAGCGATGGATATACAATAGCGTGTTTATTCTATTTCGCACGGAAAGGCCAATATGTCATTAATTAGTCTGAAGGGAAGTTGATACTCTGTCGTCTGTTGCTGTGGGATTAAACTAATAATCTCAACGCATCACCGATGATCACGGATGCACTTTTTGTAGCAAATGATTTCGGAAGGTGAACAACAATAACGACAACATTTCAGAAGTTGAACAACATTAACGACAACGTTTCAGTAGGTGGACATCAAAAATGACAACATTTCAGAAGTTGAACAGCAATAACGAATGACATTCACTCTGGAATTAATTGACCCATCTCTTTGATTGTGAACCTTCGTCTTTTGCCGACTTTAATTTAATCTCATCGGTTTATTTCGTCACATTTTTTAATGTTTGAATGCCAAATTTCAAATTTCATGCCATTGGCTATAAAATTTGTAGGTTTAAATTCCATGCTGAATTTTATCAAGACGAACGCATTTACTTGAGATAAAAAAATGATTCAAAAATTATTTTAAAAAAAATGCCCAATGTGAGTTGTTGAAGATTTCATCGAAAATCTTCCATTTTGAAGACAAAGACAGTTCGGTCTGCATTTCCTCCAATCATTTGCATTCTCTCTCTCTTTCTCTTTCACACTCCCTAACACACAAAGACACACAAGTGCTTAAGAAAAACAATGCATGAAAATTTCCTTCGTAACTAAGACGGTTGTGTATTTCCTTATTGTGTTTTTGGTCGGTTTTTGAATTCATTTAATAATCAAGATTCGGAATTCCGATTTTCAATGCGTTCAGGTCCCTAAAGCGTCTGTAGTAAGATTTTATTTTTTTTGAATTAGCATCGGATTAAGTGAAACCTTGTACGTTTAAAATCTTGGTCATCTAAAGTAATGCTAGTCTCTCGGACCATTTTGGACAGACATGTAATGAGTTCGATCCACATTAGGAGCTCCACTATTATGGCTTTGTGTCAGCAACTATGCCAATATCTCTATCCTTTAAGCAATTTTCGACCTATTTACATCTCGCCCTCTAACCGGGAATTGATAACAATGTAGGTCTTCCCATTAATCACGAATGTCTGTCACTTGTGGATCACGCTTCTAATCAAGACATATTGCTAACCATTACTAATACATTTTGTAATTAGGGAACTTGCACTTAAGTCTTAATTACATTAAGCGGACAATTAATTGAGAAAATCCGATGAGATTCCCATCCAAAGTTAATCATTTATAAAACGCAATGACTTGTACTTGTAAAATTCGAGTAATTTCCATGTTCGTCATTTATACCAAATCTGATTTCGTTAAGTAGCACGCACAACGCTTCATTCTCCGCCTACTCACGAGCCTCGTGTGTTAGCCTGTCTAATAGAAGGAATTCATGGCAGTTCACAGATAATAAAGAAAAAAGAATCTGTGGAAAGTCATGATGGCCTACGTACTTAAAGGGCATAGCGTTTAAAAAACATACACACACACATACACACACACATACACACACATACACACACACACACACACACATACACACTTGGCTGCAAACTCCGTTACAGTTTTGCAGATCGATAAATCAACGTTCTGGCTTCGGTTTCCCTCTTCTGTAAATGACATATTCTTTTTTTTATTTTCATCGGTTAGACTTCGAAGGTGACGTTGTCATAATAATTTCAGCAGACTTTTACAATTCCTATTGTATTTCAAATTCCCCAAAATACATAGCAATACCTCTTTTCCCAAACTTTTGCTGCAGATGTTGCCATCTGTTCTGTCTCTGTCCATGATTGTCGACGTTTCAGGTTATCTTAGTAAACTCACTTTTCATTTTCAATGAAAATCTTAAAAAAAAAAAAAAAGAAAAAAGGAAGAGATTTTGTCATACCTTGCAAACAAACGTTTTACAATTATTGAGTGATCAACACTAAGTATTTCAACCAATTCCAGCGTTGATGGAGCAGTCATAACTAAAAGAACCTGTAGATTCTCGCTTTCAAATTTTCGTAGTCTTTTCAAATTCTTGTGCTTTACCGTTGCCTCGAAATCAAATTTACTTTTCCAACACTTCGCAACTTGAAAGTAAATTTGGGAATAATCGAAATTAATTGCGAAATCTAGTGAAAGTCACCCATGAAATAAAAATAATTGTTTGTACGGAAAGTAAGTACCTTCGTACATCAAATTGTCTTTAAATTAAGTGGTGGCAGAAGAATTATCATTGAACTTTTAAAAGGTAAGCTTAAATGTTAATGCAATACTTAAATGCAGCAATCAATTTTGAGATCTTCTGTAGTTCATTGTTGTCTATCGCATCAACTCCTCCCAAGCTATTGTGATGAAGGCACACTCAAGAGCCATCCACAGGAGGTAGCTTAAAAAACTCAAAACCAATTTTCAACTGTGTAACAAAAGAAAAAAAGAAATAGTGCACTGGGAACCTTTGCACACACGTAGTATATTGTTATTATTTTAGTCAAGGATATTCGATTCAAAATTTTCCCTCTTAAACCAACCCTCCCCCGGTGTAGACATGTATATACGTTTTTCAGACACGAACGAATAAACACGTCCAAAACATACTGTTCAAACCCCAACTATGTTTATACGTCGATCTTGATTCTGTTTATGTCCATCTGAGATTGAAATGAGTTCAATTGTCAACTCATACGTCTTGTAGAGTTGTTAGTCACTGCTCGGGTTGTTCAAGGTGCCTCAGTTTCTTAGTTACTATATTAAAAACAAATAAAATTAATTGTCAGAAATGAAACGTTTTTCCTAAAATAAGAAGAGTTTAATGCCAATTTCTCTGAATTACCATTTTTATAATGATAATTCAAAACAAATTATACACACATTACAGATATACTTAACAATTTATTCTAGTCAAGGCGAGTGCAGTGATATCGACCCTCATTGGGCACCACTCTATTATGACCTTTTGCTAGATGAGATTAAACTTAGTAAATATCAATATTTCTCAAAGCGGAAATATTTTGACGTTTTTCCAAGTTTTGTGACATTTGTAAAAAAATGCTCTGAAACTTTACAAGAAAACTCTATTTCCGCCTTCGGCAGAGTGCACAACCAATTTGACTTAGGAATTTCATACACAGGTTTTTTTTTTGGAGGTGGGGAGTGATACACCTTCACTAGTGGTCTAGGCTGTTGTTGGATGGGTGGATGGATTTTGATGGTCCCTAGATAAATCGTTAAACAATTTTTAAACGGTTTTGAATTCAGAGTTGTCTTTCTCTTAGAGTGGTTGCCAAACAAGGCTAGAGGCCCCAATTTGGCCTGCTACTTGACCCATAGACGGTGGAGATAGAAGAGACAGATTTATATTTTTCCCAAGGGCATCTGTGAGGAAGTATATTCAATGAATTTTACCTGAATTCGAACTTGGATCTCCGATTTCTCTAACCATTCATGTTACACGCACATCCATCAGGTTCTAGTCTTCAGTTTGAGATCAGTTTCATTTCTTTTCATTCCCTGTTTGGTAGAACGCAGTATGAAATAATTAATTACGGACACCGCGTCCCATAGAAATAAAAGGAAAATCAATTCAACATATTTTCGTTGTAGGAAAGTTAACTTTCAAATTCTTCGCTATTTTCTGGAAGGCAAAGTGTAAGACATTTTTTGAGTCTACAGAAAGCTCTTTTATAAATTATTCGAATTATTGTTTTCATTTTTGTTGTTTTTGTTTAGCGGCATATCAATACCTCTATAAGTAATTTAATGCTGAAATCTAAATATTTTTACGCAATTTTATTATGATGGAGATAATGGTTTTGGTGATACAATGATTACTAATTAACTCAGACAGCCTGGCCTGGGGAAGAGGTGGTTGCATATCTTTTCCAAAAGCTATTTGCACGTATGTGAATATAACAAACTCAACTCTCTGATTAACAATTCCGAGCAATTATCCATCCGCACATCGAAACTCATAGTACTCCCAAGCGGTCACCCATCTAGGTACTAGCCAGGCTCAATGGTGCTTAACTTCGGTAATGCTTACGGGGACCGGTGTTTCCATATAATGTGGCCGTAAGCCCGTTGTTTTTGAAGCTGAATACAGTTGAACGAATAATAATAATAATAATATTAATAATAATAAAAATTGCATGATGATAAACTTTCGTGAGCGTATTTTGCGGTCCCATGATGGATTGCCTTTGTTATCTAAACATGAAGATCTGTTGAAGGGCGCGGCTTGGTTGGGTGAATTAAGGACATTTCTCCATTTTGACTGATATTTATTTCTTATATAGAAGAGTTGTTTAAAATGAAGTCTCTACCAAGACAGCACGCGCACACACACACAAACAGAAATACACGCACGTGTACACACGCACACACACGAATGAATAAACACGAGAAATAAGACAAACCAAAAGTTATTTGTTAAGAGTGATTACGTTGATGCTCATGTTCCCAGGATCATTTTTTGCGTAATGTTAGAGAAATCTGAGAAGTGTCATTGAAATTTACTCTTTATTACTTGAGCAATTAGTCAATTGTCGTACTTGATTTACAAACCTTCCGAGAAAGTCAGAAGCGACGAAAATGCACTCAGGCATGAACTTGCGGGAATGAGCAGAAGCCAGTGTTTTAATTTTTTTGTCTCTCTCTCTTTTTGTCCATCATCGAAAAGGCAGTCACTGGCAGATAAAAATAGAATCCGTAATGAAAAAAAAAAGAAAAAAAAAAAGACAACGAGTTGCAGGACAACCTTCAAAATCAAGGAATCTATCGGGGGGCGTTCATCTCTATATTTCACTGGATTCATTAATTCATTTTTTACGGCTATTGAACCCTTTGCATGTTATTTAAAGCCAGAAAATATGTTTAGATATAATGATTTAATGATACAAGTCTTACTAATTAACCCATAGCTGGGAGGAGAAGATGTGAATTCATACCTTTCCCAAAGTTATTTGCGGGTAAGTGAATATAATGAACCCAACTGGGATTGGAACTCGGCTCTCCGATTATCTATTACACCACCCGCACATCCAAGCTTACAGCACCTGGTATTCCTAAGCGATCACCCATTTAGGTACTGATCAGGTTCGACGTTGCTTAACTTCGGTGATCATACGGGGACCGGTGCTTCAACGTGATCTG